TATTATAATATCTTGAGTGTGTTTGATTTATTTTTTTGACTGCTTTTATTCTATAAAGGGAACAATAGGGTCTTATTAGGCTTTCATGAAGGGAAATTTTTTGCGGACCTGAAACTGCTAACTAAATAAATAAGGGTAAAACCGCGTTGACTTCATTCACTGTGACTGTTTATTTACCATCAATCAAAAGTTGGTATAGTGTGCAAAGCTTCTGAAACTCGCCTTTCACCTTTTTGTGAAAAGTTTTTAATCGATTACGACTCCGCGGTACTATTAATTTTCTAAAGTTAATATTTTGCACCAGAACCAGGTGGTGCAATATTCATAAAATGCAGACAACTCTTCTAATTTATTAAGAACACTGCGAACATTCCAGAAAATATGCTTAAATTATTGTTTCAGTTACGTAAAAAAAAATTGCAACTTTATTAATTTAGTAATTAATATACTCCTACTTTATTAAAATTGTCATTTTCAGTTCAAAATTAATAATTACATAATACAAATTGAAATAATTAGAAAAGCATCTCAATTGCTGGGAAAACGGATTACCAATTGAATTTTTGTATGCAATAACGTGCTAATTTTATATTTAAAGGTTGTACATAGTTATATAAAATTATTATAAACACACGATATATCCATCAGTTATTTTTTTATAATAAAACTTTGTAGGTTTTAATTATTGGTTATTTTAATTAATAGCGTAAAAACTACGAGTATTTAAAATTAACTACTATTAAATTCAGATCGAAATTACGTTTATATGAAAAAAATGTGTTTTATTTATTTATACAAAATTATAAAAATGCTAACAATTTTTCATGTAAAACAGTATCCAATAATCTTTTTTAAATCACTGTAGTGTAATTATTTCCTCTGAAGTTAAGACTCCATGGAATATTCACAGTTGTAGAACTTGTAAAAAAGTTTAATGCAGCACTTAAAAACTGTGCAATAATCCAGTTAGCAAACTTGTAAAAAACAAATAAAAGAGGAGTTTCTTGATTTATTTTCATTTCTACATTGTTTCAGCAATCCATAAACACCAATAATAAAAAACAAAATTTTTACTAATTTCCATGCAATTATGTTGTAATAATAGTTTTCTTAGCCGTAAAAAATATTTTCACACCTTAAGATTTCTTGATAAAAAGATTACAATTTATGTTTTTGCGTTATAAGGTGTTTGCAGAAAGCGTGTTACTCCAGGAAATCCGTGATAAATTACAAGCAGAGACGTAAAAATATAGCCAGAGTTTATTACGAAAAAAGACGATCTCTGAACAGTGGAATATCTAATTCGTTCGTGCATGGTACCATAAATCTTGAAAAAGTTTGAAAAGCGCGTGAACTGCAACAAAGTTTTGTTAATGATAGCAGAATCTAATGTCATAGATTGAAACACCTTTCACGGTAGTTAAAAATTAAAAATTTAATGAAAATGTTGTGATTTCCTCGCCGGAACCGTCAGCTGCTCTAGACGCTCGGTTTGTTCCGTTTTCTTAAAGAGCAAAATACATGTTGTGAAAATTTTTAATTAATTTTTTATTTTTATAATAATTAATGTGTAAAAATGCTTAGAAGTTTAAAAGAAAACAATGCTTTCTTTTATTTTTAAAAAGAAAAATTGTAACAGTGGATTTTCTAGAGATGCCAGAGCTCATTTTTATAAAAATAAAAATTGCAAAAAAATTGCTTTCAAGTTGGCTACTCGTTTGATACACTGTGTATTACATTGAAAATACTTATACAAGGTGTCACAAGTTTTAGGGCCGGCGTAAAAATAAATATCAAAACATCAAACTAAAGTGTATTTAATCCTCTATCGTTTACTATATCAAAATTCTTTTTTAATCAATTAGAAATATTTATTTTTGTTCCGGCCCAAAAACTTGAAACACCTTTTATAAAGTTGAATTTAACTAAAGTTTAACTAAATTATGGCCACATTTGTATTACAATTAAATCTAATGAGAAAGATGTTATTTTAAAAAGAATGTTTACATTAGATTACCTGACATCGTCAAATATTTTTATACCTGTAGTTTTTAAACTGCAATGCTTGTAAATTGTTCAAATATAAATATTCAATTTGTTTAGAAATAAGTTTTTAATTTAAATATAGTACCTACACTTCGCAATTTACAAGCCATAAACGGTAACACTTTATTGACCTAAATTAGAGTAATAGTAGGTAATATTCTGCGCTTGTAATTTGCTCAACAACTATGACTGCTCTTAAATCATTAAAAGTTATAACTTATAATGATATAGTCGTAGTTTAAATTAAAATCTCACTGGAGTGATGTAAATGCATAAACTAATATTAAGTACGTCGACAACAAAAAATTTTTTGTTCTTGAATTTATCTTTGATCAATTACATAAACTTTGAAAAGTTGTAATAAAAAAAGCAAATATTTAGAGGAAAAATTTTGTTTGAAAATACTTTCTTCCAGTTTTTCTCTAATAAAAAACAAAATATAATAACTGGTGTGTTAACGGTTCATAAATCTGTTCCCACACATGCCGGCAAAATCCGGACGTTAATTAGGCGTCTAAATCCTAAATACAGAAAATATGGTGATGAATCACTCATCCAATAAACCGTTGCTAATTTTTGGACCATCTGTTTGTTTCCCTTGGTGGTGTATGAAGTGGCGGTTTCCTCGCGCCCCCACCGAAATTCGATCGTGATGTTCACCACAGACACACACATTAGAGCTTTATTGTGGCCCTAATGGCTCAACAAATAGGGTGTCATAAAGCACGGCTCTCCATGTTACCCCCTTGCAGAACTATGAATTATTGACATGTTGACAGCAGTTGTCCTATTTCATTTGCATCAATTTACTGATGGATTGTCAACATTTCATTAAGAAAATGCCTGCCACTTAAAAATATTTCTTTCGAGTGATTTGTTTAAACTTCGTGAACTAAATTTAGAACGATACAAAAATTGCTTCGCAATCGATACTATCGCCTGCTTCGCGGACATTTATATTAAATATTATACCTTCATCTTGTATGCAGACTAAAGCCTTTAATGACTTTTTTTTCGATTTTATTTTCATAAAATTCTTCAACATTTCCTTTACCCCTATTGCAAACAAACACGTGACATGCATTTTCTTATGTAAAATGAATTTTATCATTTTAAATAATCATATAATTACAAAGCAATAAAAGTGCTTGATAACTCCATACAAACATAATAAATGTAATATGTGTAACAAACTAACTATAAATGAGCAGTAAAGTAAAAAAAAACAACAAACGATACATAAATAAAAAAAGATATACGTTTCAAGGTCTCAAATAGTATTTATATCATATTAAATTATTCCTTGACAAGTTAACGAAGTGTGCATAAAAATGTGAAAGAGGGAAAGAACAAGAAGGAATAAGAACAACAAAATAGGAGGGAAGACTTAGTCGTAGAAATTGCCTTTTTTATTCCCTTCATTAGGAACCCGACAAAATCTAGAAGGGTGCTACAAACAGTTAAAGGACCCTTGCAAAGTCAACAAAGAATTATACTCATTCTAACTTTTTCGTGAAAAAAAAGGAAGTTAATATTGACTCACATCCAAATTTTACAAGAAAATTGAATATAAGCCAAGAATTATCTCTCCGACAATTCTTTCTGAAGAAATTGTAAAAACACCTTAATGAGTTTCTTATTGTGAGTACATAAATGTTTAAACAGTTTTAAATTATTTTCAAATATTCGCTTCAATCTTCATTTTAGGCTGAAATAAAGCAATTTGTGATATTTTGAATCGATTTGGCTCAATTTTAAGTTGGGAATCAACATGTTTTATGAGCATTTCTATGTTTTTATCGAGTCTCTTGCAAAACAGCCATGTCGTTCCACATACATTTGCAGGCAACTTCACACTCAAATCCATTTATAATTAAATATTTTAGCCTTATAATCGTATACTTACCTACATACATTATTTTTAAAGCCAGATATAAGAAAAATATCCGCCGTAGAAACAGTTTATTTTCTCAGCGACATATTGCCAACAATGATATAGGAGAAAAAAACTTATCTATCTGTGTGGAATGCACACAATTATACTATTTTTAATGTTCAAATTATTGCTATAAAATTATGGATCGATTGTGTATCATCAGCCAGCATTTGTGGAAATAATTCAGTGAATAGAAAATAATGATGTGGTTGACTGGACTTTGTGAAATGATCGGCCATCAAATATGCATTATTCTGAAAAAGAGATATTTCAAACAATATTAAAGTTTATCGAGCATCAGCTGTGTTCTCAAGTGCTTTGGAACTATAAAGCTTAATAAAAGCTCCACATTGGCAGAGAAGATGTCCATATAAGACTTTATATCCACTTCACCCTTGGCTATTTAAATTTTCAACAGCACTATTGACATATTGCCTTTCATAAATTATCAAAAGAACCAGAATCTCACTCCTGTGCGAATCTGAATTTGATCAGATAAAACGCAGTACCAATGATAGTGCAGTTTTATGTTTGTAAAAAAAAATGTGAATAATATTAAAAGTTTACAATTTCTAAACTTTTCCAATTTTTCGATAAAGTTATGAAACATTAATGCCAATTATTTTGTGTTACTCTGTTCAGGATATAGTTAAACAAATAGTCATGGAAAAATGATGTCTCATTGAGTTTATTGATTAATAATTAAAATGATACTATCGCACCGGTAGCAATAACTTTTATTACTTCTGTGAATGTCACTTGTAACAAAAATAACTTTTGCTTTTTATAGAAACGGTATAGCGAGTAAAGAAATATAGTAACTACTTAAGCTTTTAGTTCTTATTGGATCCTCTTGGTATAGAAACGATGAAAAAAACACGATAATCGTGTTTTTGTTCATTACTTAAACTTTTTTCAAGATCTTTTCATTTTGCTTCGTATTTTTAGGAAAAAATGTAATCAGCATAAAGAATTAGAAAAGAAATAAAAAGATTCAATTAGGTTTATTTTTTGCATTTATTTTAACACACATTAGGTACAATGAGGCAAATGTTATAACTACATAGTTTTAGTCTCAATACTCATCATTAATTCGAACTGGAACCCTAGAATAGTTACAGTTATGTATAGCTGGTAGTTTATAAGATTATGTACAATTATTTACAATTTATACAAATATTTCGAAGACAATCAACTATTTAATAAAAATGTTATATTTATAGCAACAATTAGCATTATGGTCATAAAAAGCGCTGTTGAAATTCCACTGCTGCTTGCGTGCAACATCGCTGCTGGATTTTCTTCTGAAATTACAAAAGAAAAAAAACATTTAAATGAGGAAAAATAATTAAATAAATTTGTTTCTAAAACTGCTATGTTTTTCTCATTCTTTAATGGCCATTACAAACAAACAAAAAATATAGAAAAAAGCTTTTGCTTGCGCCCAGAAACTGCAATATTATGTAATATACAATATGTCCTCGGATTGGGTTTACAAGAGAAAAAAAAATCTTTGATTTTACGCCGAAACTGTAAAAAAAACATTTTTTGCTTTACCTGAAACAAGCAAATTTGTAATTAAAACTTCATTATTCTAACTCAGTGGAAAGAAAAAGTTAATTTTTCTCTTGATTTTGGACTTAAAATAATTTATCTCTGCTTTTTAAGTCCTATCTCATTGGTGGTTTTATTTCTTTGAGAACTATATGTCACTTTGACAATTAATTTGATAATTGAATAATGATAGCTCTTGTTAAAAATGACTTTGTTTTTTAATCTTTAAGCTGTTTCTTTGAGTTGCCATTTATTAAAATTATGTTTTTCTCAAACATTTTTGTTATTTAACTTGCATGAACTCATTTGTCAAACTGACATCATTGTCACAAAAATTAAACCGCCAATGTGATGGGATTTAAAAATCAAGAGAAAAAATAACTTTTCTTTCTACTGAGTTAGAATAAAAAGTTTTAATTACAGATTTGCTCGTTTCACGTAAAGCAAAAAATGTTTTTCCTTTGCAGTTTTAGCGGAAAATCAAAGATAAAAATTGTTTTCCTCTTGTAAACCCAATCCGGGGACATACTGTATACGAACATCTAATTTTCAGGGCAAAGTGTATTGATTTAAACATATTCAGTTAGACATTTATTTATTTAAAATTGATACAATTGTAATTAAATGTATAAAATAAACAAAATAATCAGTTTATGTTATCTCATTACGTGCACAGAAAATGTTACAATTTCCAGGTTTCATGGTCAAAGATTTGTGATTACTGGATCACATTCAAAATAAAATCGTAAAATGTTATGTTTTTATTTCTATTTGAATAAGTTACGTAACGAAAAGTAAATATAACAATTAAAATAATTAAATTTGACTCAAAAAATACTTAAAACTCATAGAAGTGACATTTAAACAAGCGTAGAGCTTCAAGTCTGATGGCGAACTGACGTTGTCAAAAATGACTGTATTTTGACACTAAACATACATTTACTTAAAAAAAAAGTGTTCATAGGCGTCGTATTAAATAATATTTTAAAACCACTGTTATTCTTTAAAAAATTATAAGTAGGTACATACATACATACGATGAAGAATGATGAACAAATTATTAATTTGTTAACGCATGAAAATAATTTTAACCATGGTATTTCTAGCATTCCTCGTCCTTAGCGTTACTAAAGCAAAATTCGTTTTCATCGCTGGTATCGTCGGTTATGATAAGTTCAATAACGATTACATCTAAATAATTTTCCCTACTTAAATATTGGGCTTCATTTACGATCACCCGATTGCAAACTCTTGCAAAATGACAGCTAAGAAAACTTTAAAGAAAAAATGCACGCCAATGTATTTTATTATCTTAACCAAGTGAGCACATTCCAAGTGTCTTTTTTGTCACTGTCAGTTCGCCACCAGATACGGAATAAGCTCTAGGTAACGCCAAATTTTTCTGTCATCAGTTCAGTTTATTGCAAAATTGAATAACGCAAGCAGTTTTAAATTTACTTCACATGAGACACCCACGCTTCCACTAGATGTATTAGCGTTGCTAGTAATACCCGAATTTCCTAATTACTTCATCGCAGGAGTTTCATTTATCGCTGAAACTTTAAACAGTTACAAAGCTCCACATCGGTGGTGCTTTTAATGTATAAAGCATCACACGTTACCGCTCGAAACTCGGTTAGTAGTTACCTTCAGTCGCATTGAGGACATGCACATTGATGTATGCAGGAATTGCATTTGCAGGATCGCAGGTGTAGTTGCCGCTGTGGGTCGTATCGGCGTCCTGGAACTGCAGGACACTACTCGTCCTGTCGATAGTGACCGAGACGCCGACGTCGTGATTGATCATCCTCTGCTCGTGATACCAGAACACGTAGACTGGCGGCTCCGTCGAGTGGAGAATCGTGCAGACGAGGCGGAGCGAGGATCCCGCCCGGACGTGCAGATCCGGAGCGCCTATGATTTCCGCTGAGGCCTCTGTAACACACGATATTTCAACCGATATCGTTGAGGCGAGTAAATAAATATTGGATGAAAGCGGGGGCGGACAATACCTGTGGCGGAAACACACAAATATTTGATGGCGACAAACAACTCCAGAGAAATGACAAAGGAAAGCAGAAATCATCCTACGACAGGAATATAAATTTGTTAATAGCGAAATTGACGTGCCTCTAAGCTCCAAGGGTTAGCCGTAATGAAGTTTTTACCGAAACCGTAATTACCAGACGCGGTTGAGTCTCGTAAAATTTTTAATTCAGCGTTTCCCTCTTTACTCGCGTTTTTTAATGAAATAAACAACACCAGAGTGGGCACACGGGTCATCACACTTTAACTTGATTCAATAAAAGTGGCATTTGCATCAAAAACAATGAACACGATACCGATTTTTTAATTAACCAAACGTATTTATATTCATTTTATTTAATAAAATATTATACAATTGTTTTGTCTATTAAAACACTAACAGAAATAACAATCAACTGTATCGTTGTATCGGTTATGATTCAAAACTCTTTGTTGTTTATTTGGCCGTTCTAAATTGTATTATTCAGCTAAACTGAATCTTGTGTCCCATATATGTAATTAACTTTATAATAAAATCTAATATGATGGCTTTTTAGTCTAGTGAACATTTTAAAAACTTTTTTAAATTAATGCTGAAAACTAGTTTATTTTCATATCATAGGTAATGTTATTTGACTGTTGAGCAATTTAGACAGTTTCGCAACGATTCGTGAATTGTTCCTCACACCTAATCACAGGTTTTTTATCTAAAAATTGTACATTTTGGGCCACAGACGTAACAATTTTGTGTAACAGTTCATGTAATTATACAGGGTGTTACATTTTTATTGTTACCCAGGTGACAGAATATTTAATTTTAAGATAAAAGTTTCCTATAAACATACCTATATCGAAAAACTTTACATAAGGGAGCCACATCTTTTAATGGATTTTTTTCAATATTTCAGAAACCATCGTGGATAAAATTACAAAATTTGGTACACCTGATAACCTTTATACACCCAAATGCAAGATAAAATGTCGAAATTTTTACTCAGGAGCGTCCTAAACTGGGGCTTTATGGTAAAAAGTACCGTAACTATTTTGGCGGTTGGTTTTTGCCACTTTCAGCCACAAAATTCTAAATTTCATAGTTTTTTACAAAAAAAGTCTCTTGAGTTTTTTCCATAAAATTTACCGAGTAAAATCAGTTTACAATTTGTCTTAGAGGCCATAAAAAGGATAAAAATTAAAAATTAAATTTGTTTCACCGTTTAAGAGACCCGTGATTAAAACTTTCGACAACTGATCTTTAAATTTGTTCAGGTGTTTAAAAGTAATCAGCTGTACCAACTCTTGTAATTTTATCTATTCTGCAATAGTGGGAAAACCCCATTAAAAACTCATCTCTTTCAAGGGGTGTACCTCGCTTCCGTAACATTTTTTTAAACATGATCATAGGAGACTTTTGTCTTAAAATTGAATATTCTATCAGCTGTTTAAGTTTGTAACAATAAAAACGGAACAGCCTGTATATTTCTCCTTTCAAACTGAAGAAATGTCAGTTTTCTTTTTTTGTCATTGTACCTAACTTTAAATTGGAAAACGTTTTATCATCGAATTATCTTTTGTTAAGTTTATATAAAATAGATAATTAAAGAAGTAAAATTTAATGACGAATGTAAACCTGTAAGGTTTCGCCTCAGATTTTCTGGAATTTTTCCTGTTGAAACTTTCCTATATCTCAATCCTTATCCCTTATATAATTCAAGATATATATCAAAGTATTCGCCTCAGATCACAGCTGGTAAGTTACGATTTTATATTGACTATTTACATAAAATAACATGAAAGCTTTCGCAAAAAACAACAGGCCATTTTTGGAGAAAAATAAAAGCAGTGAATAACAATCCCGAGGATAAAAGGAATATGTATAGCTCAACAATGCTTTAGGAAACAAATATCTTAAAATTTCAAACAAGAAGATGTTACTAAAAGTCTGTGCAAAATTTGACACTAATAAATATTAAATCCAGTTCGATAAGTCAAAATTTGCTTATATTTTCAAGCTCTTATGCAAATCATTTACAGTTATTCCCAGTTTTAGACAAATTAAAACTTTACTTATTTATCTTTGTACCTCTTTACTTTTTTAGCGTTTCACCACCACGTTTATGCTTGACTGTACAGTTAAATCTAAACCCACTCGAATCCCTAACTTCCTAGTTTTATAGTGCCTTTAAAGCATTACTCCCCAGTCTTTTCAACTGAAACTAACGTAAGAAACTGTTGCTTCAAACTTTGAGTAAATATAAACAATAATCAAAAAAGACAAAGAAATACTTTGTTGAATTCTAGAAACTGTAAATAGTATATTTTTAAATCATTGAAAATAAAGTAACTCCATTATCAAAGCCCTTAATCACACATTTATTGCCAATTTAAAACTGCTATAAAAGGCAAGTGTTATGTTTTACGAGGAGTTACCTTGATCGAGTCGTTGAAAATCCTTTTCTGTCTCATATGATAAATTATCTGCTTAATTAAGCAAAAATTCCTGTGCTATATGAATACGTTTTAGGTCGTAAATTAAATCGTCTATCGAGAAAAAAGACACACAATTCATCACCGCCGCAAAGATAGCAAATCATGAATAAAAAATGAGCATAAACCGGAAATTTCCCTTACAAAAAATGAAAAGACTGGTGAAAAAGATGAACGCAGAGTTTCTTAAATCGTTGAGGACTGGATTGCTCACCTGTGACTCGTAATTCGATAAATATGCTAGTCGCAGGATGTGTTGACACTTGACATTCGTAAAGTCCAGCGTCGGAGGGACGCACATGTTTTATTACTAGGTCCCAGTTTTGGAGGTGGCGAGCGTGTTCTACCATGAAACGGTCATCGGCGATGTATGGACCTAAGCCGACCGTCAGAATCGTGGGAGGGGTGATGTCCTTGCGGATCCAGGACACCTAGAAACAGTTACTAAAGTTCTCATTACAGAAAGTATGTTACCAAAGCAAAAATTTATTAATTGGAAGATATTACTTTTATTACCTTTGGCAGATAAACTTCTTTTCATGTTTGTTTCATAAATAGAAAAGTAACAAACCAAAAGAAAAGTTTGGTCTTTATCACGTTTCAATCAAGAGATCTAGAAAGTATCTAATCAATCTGCTTTTACTCAATCAAATTTCTTTACTTCTGAATAGCAGCGAGCTTTTGCACTATTCATACCTGTACTAGATTAGTAGGTAGCTTCGAACGTCAATTACGTGTAGCGTATTCCTTTCTTTTTAAGTGAAATAAATTGAATTGAAATAATTTCTTTAACACTACAAGCAAATCTAATATGTTACAATTTGCACGAAAGAGAATAAGAGAATTCGTTCAATTACAATAGGTAAAATGAAATGTGAATCTAATTCAATAATTCATTTTAAAAATTTGCATAAAATAAGTCCAACAGAAAAATTTCGTTTTGTAGATTTAAGTTACCAATGCTTCGTTCACAACCAACTCTACTTTAGTTTAAAATATTTTTAGCAACGATTCTGCGAACTTATAAATTGAACTTTGATGGTTTTTCACCAACGCTTACACTTTGACCACAAATAAGTTAAAAAAATTATGACAACTTTTGAATTTTTTAAGCTATTTGTTCGTAGCTTTGAAGTTTCCATTTGGTATTCTATTACCACCGCCTTTGCTTTTTCTTAGATCAGTGAAGCAAAGAACAGAATGTTTTTAACATGTAGTCGGAAAAACCATTTGAAGACGGCGACTGATTCAGTATGTTTGCGCGTTTTCAAACGCAAATTTGTGTTTGTATAAAATTAAATACTCAGTACCAAAGAGTAGAAAAAAACAAAAATATTTAACCATGTTACTATCGTCTGTGCACACAATTATATCTATTTTCAAATAATATTTCAGTAGTCGTGTATTTACGAAAGTCTGTTTCGTATACAAAACTTTAAAAAAAGTGTCAGAAAATAGCGTTTGCATTTTTTATACGTCACGCATTTTATAGAAGATTTCTCTAAATAAGTCAAGGTTTTGGTTCACTGTCAAGGTAAAGAAAAACACAGTAAATAGTTTAATCAAAATGATGCATAACATATGCCGATTTGTGAAAAAAACGTTAGATATTAAATAAGCTTAAAAATGAAACCCTTTTGAATCTTTAGTAAATAGCGTCTCTTTAGTAGCGAATTCGGCAGAGCGTTCGTTCTCTCTCGAAAACGTCAAGTATGCCTTTTAAAGTTAGGAAACACAAACATTCAATGTCTCTAGAAGGATAACATCTAAACTGTAAATGCGCTGCCTATTTACCGGTTCAGGGTAATATCGCCAACGATCGAAGTTTTATTCCCAAACTGAACTAATACCAAGTTTATTACACTTACAACTCCGTTGTTGAACTTGCGGACGATGCAAGGCAACTTCGCCGTCCCACCGATTTGTGCCGCCACCGATGTTGAATTGGCTGTTGCAAATACTGAGCTACGACTGGGAGAAGACCCGGAAGAGGGTTTTACCACATTGTCTCTGCTTCGATGAGCTTCATACGCCCTCTTATCTCGGCTCAACTTGACCATATCTGCAATATTTCTTCGATTAAACTCGCCAACTCACTCCAAACAATATTATGGTCGAACGGAGAATTTGTTCACAAGATAAAAGCAACAGTCTTGATATAATGAAAAATCGACTGAAGTCTCTAAAACGCCACGAGTTATTACTGCGGCAGATTTAGCATTTGAAACAGGACTGTCTTCAATTACTACTTTCATACTTCTTGTTGTAACTTTTGGGAGTTTGAACCTTTATTGAGCCACCTTCTGGTGCCCTTATCCGACAAACAAACCCATTCTATTTTTCAGGTAAACACAATAAGGGACTTGATTAAAACTGTTCTTTTGACAAAGTCTGCACTTCTTTCAAAACTACTACTCAAAAATGAGTTTCATTCCCCAAAAAATTCCTCAAGCAAAATCATTACTGTAAAAGCTTATCATTAATGTTTTGTCTTGAGATATTCAAGACATTTATCTTTTGTCAAATCATAATGTTTTTCTGTCAAATGATATTTTGTTTCCCTTGTTTTAAATCTTTTTGATCTATTTTTCTCGTCAGGTCAAGTTATAAGATTGCACAAAATATTTAAGTGAGCTAAAGCTAAAACAATCAATTTTCTTTGGCGGGAAAGCTTTTGTTCTATTTTTCGGATTCTTGAGCTTACCTCAATATAAACTACACATTAAATCGACAAACTCGCACGAAATAGAAATCTTTCACGCTCGTTACCTCCATCATAAGATGTAAAGTGTGATATGTGTTTAAAGTAAAATAATCTCTATAAAAATGCCTCTTTGGTTAATGTAAAACTAATGTAATTTTGCCACGCCAAGTAAGGTCATTGGTTTAATGCCAAAAGTTAGCAAGTGGAAGTTAACTAAGTCCAGTCAAAATGCAAATAAGCCACAAAACCTGAAATCAACAGGTTTCATAAACGGTGGCACGCAATTTTAATTTTGATAATTTTAGTAATTTTTCGTTAAAAAAGCTTCATCTAACTGATTTTATTTGTTTCAATTAAACACACATTGTTTACAAATTTTATTCAAGCGCCAACTTTCAAATATTTATAAACGCACTCATTCTCTTCCCCTCAAATAACACTTCTTCCATCTTTGTGAAAGAAAATGAATGCAAAATAATTTTGGATGTATAAAAACGCCGCTAGCTGTTTACTTTAAAGTGAATATCTTTTGAAAATGCTTTGATAATTTCTACTTGCTTTTTCGCAAATACTTTAAATAATTTAAAGTGCCTTCAATTTTTGAATATTCCAGCAATCAGATTATTACACAAGTTTGACCTCTTTGCCAAAGGCTATTTGTTTATGTATGAAAGAAGGAAGTGGAATGTGCGTTTTGTATATTAAAGATTTAGAAATATGAGGAAATCCGTGAACAAACCAAATACATCAAGGAGGCGTCATTTAATATTTATATGAAATTATCCACTTTCAGTCACGTGTTTTATATTCCTGTTTTATTTTGTTTTATATTTGTGCTTATTTCAATTTAAATTCCATATAACAACTTAAATCTTTGATTGAAATATTTGATTTTTTACAGAAAAGTTAAACATTTCTCAGAAACATTTTTTTTTAATAAAAAAAATAAAGAAAACCCTGTCTTTACACATTCAAATTCTACAAACAATAAAAAAAAGTATAGATAATTGGCCACAAAATGTATGAAAATAACTACGAGTACAAGTATTTTTTAATTATCTTAATTTTCTTGAAGTAAAATAAACTACTCTGATGGTACCTTAAATGGCGTAAATTTCTATTAATTTTTTGCAATGTAAATATTTAAAATGTCTTGGTCCCGGCAAAGAGAATTTCGTTAGTAATATGAACTCTCAGCGGGTCGCCACATTCCACCAAACAATAAACTCTCGGTTTCGTGTGGATATAACAGTAATTTTAAACTTACATAAATTTACATTTGGTAGAGCAAATACATATTATTGTTTAATTAAACTTCTTTAGTTTATTTATGCTAATTTAGATTTGTTCGGTTCGATAAAATTGAGGTTACCAACCTTGACAAATAAGGGAAGAAGGAGTAAGCATTATTTCTGCTGAGATGACGAAGAAGAGGCACATGTAAATGTTCAAAGGATGCACAATCACTGCCATTATTGAATCGGTAAATGAGGTAAAAGGAATACGAACACGCGTTAAGACGTTCGAGTGATAATCTCGATCAGTCTTAATTGTAGGTGCATAATTAATAGAATGGTCTTCACGTACAATCCGCACAATCACAAAAGAGGTCGTACATATACAACCCCGCTACTATTATTATTACATCATGACGGAACGGCTTTGTTTACGGCAATTCTCGTGTTTCAGGCGCTCCGTTCGCATTGTTTCATAATTTGCTGAAAAGGGGCGCCGTCAGGAAGAGATTGCGAGATGTTATTCTACTTTAATGAGATGGTACTAGTTGGTATCATAGTGGTTATGAAAGTCTCTTGTTAGGTGACGCCAGACACGACCATATGTATCTGAAACAAACAAAGTTTTTAATAATTACTCCTATTAAACAACGAAGTAATAATGAAAATTGTGGTAACAAAAAGTAAACTAAAAAATCAACTTTAAAAATTTTAGACGCATTTTTTGTTCACTTAGTTAAGAATTTACAAACAATTAATAAATGAACTTCCATTAAAACGTAATTTGACAGCTAAAGCATGAGATTTCTCTGTAGACTAAGAAATGCTGTAGATTGAACCAAGAAGCTTTCAAGTTTTAATTTGATATTTAATGCTATCTAAAAAAATAATAACAAATGGTTAGTGCTATCAAGAAGAAAAAATTAATGGATGGTGGATGCGTGGAAATTTGCTGGATGGTGCATGCGCCGCGCCGGGCCACTTTTTCAATTTGTAAAAAAACATTTAAATCACTTACATTATATTAGCAAGTATTATATATTTCAATAAACATGTATGTTAAAATAATGTGTTTCTATTAAAATACTAAAACTATAAAGAACGATATATGACAAAAAAGTATAAATTCCTGAGTTATAGACTAAGAATAAGTTAAAAAAAGTGAAAAGGATGTGTAAAAAAACATTTCTGAACTCTTGCTATGTGTAAAAGCTTTCAAGTAAACTTTCTTACGCCGGTTTATAGATAAACCCTTTGTTCGTGCTTGTGTATCCTATTTTTATTTAGACGCATATGTGCAAAGAAGATTAGGATAAGTCAACATTTATTTGCCTTGAGTTTAGGCTTAAATTTCCTCTGTTAACATTGCTTACAGATCCTCGTATAAAGGTCAAACAACATGAGTTTCTCTGTGACGTGTAATTAAACCCACTGTACTGTAAGTCAAAGTAGAACTGCGGTGACAATTAGCGCTTATATAAAATCTAGTTAACACACCTAACTTTTTTATAAATTTAGGTACTAAGAAATATATTTAAATTAACTTATCAGAAAATAATGTTTACTTTTTGATTTTTGAAACGAGATAAAAGCAAATTTGTTAGCTGCGGTAATGTACTCCCATTGTTCTCATTGTGAAATAAGCGATAATACAAATTTAATTTATATTTAACATAATACCTCGTATTATATTCGTAATTTACATCATTAAAGCAATTATGTAATTAACCAAATTGCTTACAACCACAGTCAACCTGGATATTCCGACTTGCAGTAAAAGCGGTGCAACTTGACACCTTTGTACGGCTTCTTTGACACCAAATACTTGAAATATACTTTAGTCTATATTTTACGGTATTTGCACTTGTGACTTTATTTTCATCTCTTTGAAGAAACTTTTTTCTCAGTGTTTCTAATAATTTTCGCTAACTTTCCTAGCGGGCTTAAAAATCTGTGCGTAGTAAAAATGTTTTAAATTTTCCAATATCTTCATTGTTCCACATCATATTCCACGCTTTGATGTGATCTTGATAAATAGCTTTTTTCGTAATTTCCTACGTCATCCATCACCTCGTTCTTTAATGAAAAAATAAAAAAATTACAATATTCACAAGCATGCTAATTCAAAAGTTTTCATATTTGTTAAATGTTTGTTCATTTAGCATTAACAATGTAATTATTGCCAGTTTGAAGTTTCATCATGTAAAAATTATAGATTTTTATTTTAGGTTCAATGAATTGTAAAAATTATTAACTAAAAACGAAATTTTTGTATACAAAACATTTTCAACTTTCATGTCGCCCTCAGTGATTATTATGCAAATTCTATGTGAAATTATCCCAAATATATGTGCATACGCAATTTTCACATCCCAAAAAATATTCAACTTGAAAATTTAATCTCTTATAATCCCCTATCTGACAAGCCAATGTAATTTCCTATCGATCGAATTATTAGTCATCGTTGGAAGAAGTCATTGTTTTGTGAAATCCTGTTTTTAATTAACTTTAAAGTTAAAATATTAATTAGTCAGACAGAAATAATTAATTCTTTATCCGATTAAAGATGGAGCGTTTTTAAGACACGTTTTCAATAACATCGAAGTCACAACTTTAAAATTATAAGAGATTAATCTTGTTTTTCTTGCAAAATCGAATAATTAGTTTAAACAAATTTATGTAAAAAGACAAAATATTTTCAAATAGCCTCAGCAGCTGAAATGTAAGAGTATGTGTTTGACAACCCATTGTTCTTTGTAGGGTTTGATTTTCAATTACGTGTGTCAATTCTTTCTACTCTTTCAGTAAATTTACGCCACATAGCACATATCACATCGATATTTACGTCTTATTTGTGCGATACCGTTTTATTTTTGAAATTGTGATTAAAGTTATAAACAAAATTTTTATTGTAAATCCTAAAGTAATTCAGTAGTTAGTTCTAGCTAAACATTTTTTCTCAGTGAAATTTCTTTCTCAATTAATTACATTTCAAACGGAAGGTCGCAAAGCTTTAAAATTAGTTGAGCGTAAAATCCCTGAATTTACGACACTACTTAAATATTAAAGCTAAAATTACTGTACACATACTAGCGTAAATATAATTTAACTTAAGATGAACAGCTGAGATACTATTTAATAGGAATTTAAGTCAACTTAGAAATGACAAGTTCCACATATCTCCTGAAATAGCCCACACAAATTCAGTTATTTTTACAAAACTTTACAAACATTATGAAAGCCACAAATCAGACCGCTGCTCCTTAAAATTTCCCTAATCAATTTGTCCGCCTGAAATTACAGTGATAAAAATTCCACAAAAATTCATTTACTTAGCCATTTGCATATTTCATTCAAGTGTCATACAATAGCTGCATGAAATAATTAGCCATCCGTTTAGGTACACTAATTTAAAAATTGCATGTCACTAAATGTATAGTGCGAACACCTTTAAGAAAATGAACCCAGTATAACAAAGCAGCACAAAAACGCACGTAGTTTTATTATCAGATTCACGAAAAAGCTAATGTAGTGTTTCACTTTCAGAGCTAACAAAATAAGATTAAATTATATGACGAAACCGAGTTTCAGAATAATCGATACGTACAAGATATATGGAGATTTCCACACTTGGAAATAGGGAAAGCGGCACAACTTCATTAGCGTAGTGACAACAGCTGATAAATAACAAGAATGATTATTGTGCTCGCATTCATACTTCGTTCATAACATAAGCAATTACGGTAAGTACGGATAATAAATCGTCTCTCCGATTTAACTACCTGTGAAAGCCATATTAAATTCTTGGCATTGTATTACTTTCTGCTAAAGTTCTGTACTAATATAGCAAAAACTCGATTTCCCCGACAAAAAATTCTGAAGCTCATCCAAACTGTAAGAATTGAGCTTGTTATGTTACCGTAAGCAAGATTTTAACTTCGGCAGTTTTGCGAGCTTTTTTATGAACTTATCAGGTTCTGTTCTAGGACAATTGCGGACACGGAATCTTGAACAGTGGCAAACAATACTGGTTAAATCCCACATTAAAAGTATATTCCCTATGCTTAAATTTAACCGTTTTCGAAATATTTAGATTGAATAATATTTTTTTTTGGATTTGCACCTTCCTCTTTAAAAATCGATAACTATACCATTTTTTATTATTTTGAAATTATATTCGGTCGGGTGAAAGAAAAATGTTTTTTTCTTTGGTATTTGAAATTAAAATTTAAAAGCTTTAGTTGAAATCTATATTTGGCGTCGAATTACCAGTACACTAATATCGGCATGTGCCAGCAGTACGTTTCGTAAAATTATTTTGATTTGTTATCATTTTTTCTGTAACTGTCAAGATAAAATTAAAAAAAATTAAAAGTAAGGTTAGTTCAACATAGGAGCAGTTTTAATTTTTTTTGTTAATCTAATCGAATGACAAATCGTCCAAAATTCCATGTCCGGAACTGTACCACAGAGTTAAACTTTTGTCAAAAAGCTCGACAGTAAAATGTACAAAACTACATATTGCTTTATTTATTTATTTTCTAAATTTAAACTAAAAAAATAATTATTGTTGTTATAATATACCTATATTTTTACACAAACAATAATATTTAAGTATAATTCATTATAAAAAATTATTGTTGACTAAATATAAACATAAAACAATTAATTACATTTACAACAGTAACATGAATTATTTAAATATATTGCAAAATTTTGTATTTACACTGAACACGTTCAAACTTGAAATATTAGCCCTTGCTAAACATCGAAGATAATGTGTTGAGGTGTACATTAACAGATTCACAAAAAATTTAATCATTTTACACAAAATGATTATTTGTTTTTACTATTTTTCTACAAAAAAGCTGTTTGTTTTAACTTAATTAGTTTAGCAGAGAAAAATGAAATGAGAATCTGCAATGAAAAGTGTTTATTCTGTCAGAAATATAAATTTTCATTTGCTACATACGTTCTATCCTCACAAAGAAAGTTTTAATGTAAATAAAAGACCATAATTAGTACCACTCTAGCGTAAGTGGTTTGCTGTGTAATTAAAAATCTCATTAAATATTTTTATGTTTTATAGCAAACGGGTTCTAACTAATATAAATTAGATTAACGTAGGTATTATAAATTTTATTTTAAAGCAGAGTAAAAACCAATGTTCATACATTAAAAGTCAAACAGTTTTTTGTATTGTGTTATATTTATTTCGCTGATATATAATTTATTTATTCCATTAAAATCTCTAAATCATTCAAAATATTCAGGGATATTTCCTAAATTAGTAATTACAGTGCACACAAGCTGTAGAGTTTTGATGTATTTACAAACGCAGCATAGAGCGAGGACACCAATTTATAACAATAAGAGTGCCTAAACTGACAGTTTTAAAATACGTCTACATTTTAAACTTAGTAATAACTTTATGTCGCGGCGATAATAACTTGACACAATTCAAATCAACTTCCATGACACGAACTAAATTTTCTGCTCGAAACGAAAAAGTATTATCATTATGTATCCCGGCGCATCCGCCATAATTTTCTCGCATTTGAGTTGTATACAGACAGATACTTTTTCTTCAGTTTCGTGCTATTGTGTCA